TTGATTAAAAGTTGACACATTCTTGAGAAAAGGAACATCATCTCCATTGACCTTCAGAGCTGGCAAAATCTGGAATGAAAAAGAAGAGACATCTTGAGTAAATAGGGCAGGTTTGGGTCAATTTAAAAAAAACACGGCTAGGAGCCTGTGACATCATTTGGCCAGGAGTGATAGGTGGGGCTTCAAGATACAGGCTTTCTGGAATAATTGATTTTGACCTTATTCCTTTTCCTCTCAGGTTGATCAGAGGAATAGAAGCTTTTTGACTATGTTCTATCTGTCTTTCCTCTCTGTTCTTCTGGAGGATGGTGCATTGAGTATGATAAAGGCTCCTCAACTTCTTTGTGGGAAGAGGGGAACAAAAGGCTATTCTTCTGGGGTGTGATAAGGAAACAGCAATTCTCCATGCCCCATTTCCCTCCTTTCTTCTATTCACCAGAAATTAGGAAGTCCAAATGACCTTGTCTTAAGTTAAGCCCAATAGGTCTAAGAAATGTAAACCATTTTCCTCCTACTTTCAGGAAAAAAAAATCGTTTGCCTTAATTTTTAGGACCATTTAAAAGGATTTGCTTTTGATTTTATAGGATTAATTTTTAAAAATTCAATTTTATTTTATTTTCACCCCCAACTTCTCTTCCTCCCATCTTCCCCTTCCCCCATCAAGAAAGTAAGAAAAACAAAATCCATTACAAATGTGTATAGTCAAGCAAAAGAAATTCCCACATTACGCGTGTCCAAAAATATATATGCCTAAATCTGTACTCTGAGTCTATTATCTCTCTATCTGGAGTTGGGTAATATGTTTTATTTTGAGTCCTCTGGAACTGTAGTTGGTCATTGTGTAAATCAGAATTATGGGATTAGGTTTTTTGGTTTGTTTGTTTTTTTTACACATTTACATGCATTTATTCAGCTGGGCATTTCCCCTGGTACCCAATGAACTTGAATGGTCTCAAACTATACTGAGTTTGTATGGTTGTTATTGAACTATAATTTTCTCTGTAGTACCTATGCCTGATGATATTAATTAAATTTCTCGCTCTTTCTCTCTCTCCTCTCTCTCTCTCTCTCTCTCTCTCTCTCTCTCTCTCTCTCTCTCTCCTTCCTTCCCTTCTTTACCCCCTCACAAAATTGTATCTTTGGTGAGATTCAATTTTTAGTTTCTTCAGTCAAAGATGAATAAGTGAAATTAGTAAATTTTCTAAAACCCCTAACCAGATGGTTTTATGATTGAGATTTTTTAAACCTGAAGGGCTGCATGCATCCCCATCTGTTACAGTCTCATTATTTGATAAACAGTAAAAACCACCCCCACTGTACCTCAGAAGTGGATAAACACTCTTGTAGTTTACCTCCTGAGCACCACAGAGAGAAAAACCTTTGAAAAAAATGAACTAATTCCTAAAGAAGCTCTAAATTATATTCAAATGAGAGAGGCTTCAAAAAGCACTAATGAAAGCTTGAAAACTGCCTGCCTACTTTCCTATACCTCACCTAGAATTTCAGGAAGGGAAGCCTTTATCAGAGTGAATGAAGAATCTAGAAATTGATTTTAGGAAGGAAAATTAAAATCAGCCTGGCTCTTTCTTTCCATCTTGTGTACTTTCCAAGGAGTATAAAAATTAGAACTGTCTATTAATATGTGGAAAGTGCACTGAATTTGGAGTCAGAGGCCCTACCTCTTACTGCAATGTCTTTGGACAGGTCACTTAACCCCTCAGGCCATCGGTGTCCTCAAAATGAAGGGGTGGGATTAGATGGCCTAACATTTCTTACAGCTCTAAATCTAGGATCTTATTAACTAAATAATTTAAGAGAACAGCTCTCCAGATTCAATGAAGAAGAGAGGACAGAGGCATTCACACAAAGTTCACAAGTGCCATTGAAGAGAAATTTAAGGGGGTTTCCCCTCTAGGACACAAGTTGTTTCTGGGTTTCAGCTAAGACGACCTTGAGCTCAGTTTTGCCATCTCAGTTAAATGCTCAGGGACTAAATAGCTTACTTGGAAAAGCTCAATTTTGCCACCTCAGATATACTTTTCAGGGAGTAGAGACAACTAAATGGTGCAGTGGGTGCTGGGTCTGGAGTCAAGCAGATCTGAGTTCAAATCCAGCCTCAGACACCTCCTAGCTGTGTCCCCTTGGGCAAGTTGTGTAGCTGTTAACAGAATCAATTTCCCCAACTATGAAATTGGGATGTTAATAGTACCTACCTCCCAGGGATTTTGTGAGTGAGGATCAAACAAGACAATATTTGTAAAGCACTTAGCACAGTGCCTGGCACGTAGTAGACATTCAGTAAATGCTTATTCACCCTCCCTTTACATCTTCCTGGTGCAAATCAGTGTTACTTTCTCAAGCAGCTGTCTGCTGTCTGTCATTTGTCACTTTGCTGAGCTCCAACACAAGTTGTTGGATGGATAATGGCAGGGAGTGATTTATATTTCCTGAAATATAAGCTTCAGCTCTGTAGCTAGATGATTCCCAATTCACTGAATAATCACACAAGTCTGCCCTTTAGTTGATTTTGTGAATTTCAGTAGGATCTCCCCTTAGCTACTCCATGCAGCAAATTTTATTTTATTTAATGAAGTAAATCAGGAAGTGCCTATGGAATGCCAGGACTTGCTCTTACCACATATTAACAGTTTTGTTTTGTTTTGTTTTCCCCAAGGAGCAGCATTAGCCAGCAAATGGGTTTCAAAAGATCATTTCACCCAACTGGTTGTGATCCCCCCATTATCATATATTTGGTTACTATCTATTAAGAGTGTTTCTCAGTCACAGGAAAAGATGGATGTTGGCTCATGTGTTAAAGTCTATGTGATTCCTTGTTAAGTACAAAAGAATGGGACTGTGGTGGGCAGGGTGTGGAAGGGCTCTTTCATACTGCATGACGTGTGCCTTTTCAGTGGCCAGGAGCCTAAGGTCTGCAGATGTGCTGGGAGGGGTCAAGGGGTCAATATGTTCTATTAGTGAGCACATGGAAAGACAGAAATGACATGATCTAACATAACTCCAACTCCTGACTATCTCCAGGGGAACTGCAAGCTATGGTAGTGTTGTCTTTAGAAGAGCTGTAATTTCCCCCGTTCCATTTGGTGTTCAGTTGACCTGAAAAAACCCATTTTCAAACGAAAGCTTGTTTTAATGTTTTTATTTTCCATGTCTTTCTATCTATTATTTGAATTAAAAATAGAGAAAGCATGGATTACTTCTGCCCTAAGACCAGAATCTCACCTGGAGAACTAAGCAGCTCAGAACGCAGCAGCCAGTACTCTTAAGAATAGTCAGTGAGGAACCCCATTCCCTCTACAATGTGACAGGCATGATCTCCCTGCAATGTATGGACCACACATCATATATATGTATCAAAGAGATTGGAAGCCAAGAGAACTGTAACTTCACTTGGTATCTGATCCCATGTAGCTGGGAGGGCACTGGACAAATTAATGAATCATTCTGGAGTTATCTTCCGCTGCTTCTTTCCTTTCTCTTCAGCCTGCTGTTTTTGGAGTTTCTGGAAAATCATTAGGTCAGCTGGGTCAATGGTCACATATCTAGCTACTTGCCAATTATATTGGACCTGGGGGTGGAGTTAAGGTTCCATTGATTTGACTTTTTTTTTTCCGTGCAGAGGTTGGGGTAGGGAGCAAATGATGTGTGTTATTTTACATGAATAAGAGAAACTCATTCCTCCTTTTCTCATTCATTTTAACCCTCAAAGATTTCTCAGCTGGCAAAGGGCTTCTGATTCTACCAGCTCAAGCCCTGAAGAAATAGAAGGAGAAGGAGGAGGGTGGAGGAAACAGAGGAATGTGTTCCCTTAAAAGAGTGCGATGTATTGTTGGAAGAGGATGGGATGGAGTACGATCTGGGTTTCCAGTTGTCCCTACAGGACTGACAGAGTACCTGGGTAGTAACTAGGCCAAGATAAACACAGAGTCCCTAGTGGAAAAAAACTGACTTGCTAAAGTTCTGGTCACTTATGGTTTTATTACCATTGCAGCAATGATCACCTCATGGCCTCAGATCTCTCAGAATCTACCTACAGAATGTGACTACTGAGTCTGGGTCTGGAGTATAACTCATTTGATTCCAATGGGCTTATGCTATGAATATGGATCTCAGAATCGCACCTAGTGCTATTAGGCAGTGTGTGATGTGGTAAGCTGTATGCTGTGGCAAACTTTTTCCATCTATCTTATTTCTTCCTCTGCTCTTAGAAAAGACCACCATTTCTTGCATACATACCATTATCTGTTTATTAGCAATAACATAGGAAATACCAATAGCACCAATTAAAAATGAAGCCACATGCTGTTTTGTCCTTACAGCTGTAATAACTGGTAACTAACAAAAGATTGGAAAGCACTTTCTCGATATATAAAGTGCTGCACAGATTTATCATCATTCTTATCATAAACAAATTAGCCCAATTCTCCTATTATTCAGAAGGCACGTAAGGTCAAATACATGGGGTTGAGTGGGGCAAAGTTGTCAGAACTAGAATGTAGACATGACTCGTATGTGCTGGCAACCTGTTTTACCCCATGCAAACCTACAGAGCTGAATTTACACACCCTTCAAAATATGGGAGAATCAAAGCTCAAGCATAAACAGAAAATAATTCTTCGTGGGAGATGGAGAACTTTGTAACAAATTCCTGTCTTTCTTGTTCAGGTCAATGAATTCTAGGGCAAAAATAATTGATCAAGCATCTAATTTGCACATTTCAACAAACTTAAAATGTTCTAGCTGAAATGACATTAACTTTGAATATTCTTTATGAGAGCCTTAAAAATTCAGCATTCATGGAGGTCACAAGTTGTTTGGTTGTGTGCTCACACACCCACAGGGAATTATCTTCTGAATTCCTTCCACAAAGGCTACTTTTAAAAAGCAGTTTCATCCAATCCCTCAACAGTTGGACTCCTGGCAAAAGACAGGGGAGAGCTTTTGGCTGACCACAAATAAAATTCTTTGAATCACCAGTATCTTGATTTAAGAAAGATATTTTACTGTGTCTTTCATACACAAAAGCTGATTAACAGTGGTGTTTTTTTTTTTCCAAAAAAAATGAACACTATTCCACTTTTTTCACAGGTGTACAGAAAAGAAATGTAATGGAGTTACATTCAACAAGAAAGCTTAAAGTCCACTCTAGGTAATAGTTGCATTGACATTCACATACACAAGCACAGAGTAAGTATATTTCAGGATTTTTATAAGAGCATACAGCATACATACAGTAGTTGGATTTTACATCATGAGTAGTAGTAAGGGCAGCATTTCAGAGTGTCATAGAAAAAAGGGACACAAAACCAAAGGGAAGTTTTTAAGCTAGCGCACCAAGACAATTCACAGAATTACAGGATCTATTAAGTGTATTCTGTATGTCTGAGAAAACAACAACTATCTTTCATTTCTGAGTCTTAAGACAGTTAATTGAAGAAGATTCTGTAATCAAAGTGCACATAAAAAACATTTTTTAAAAGGATGGGGATCCTTGGGTTTAGTAACTAATACATGCAAGAGGCAGTCCCAGAGTGACCTGATAGAGTAAAGCTGTGATTGGCAGGTGGCTGATATAATACAGATGTTTCAGGCAATTTCTCTAAAGCACTTCAGTAGCAGCAATGATTGTTTCTAATGGCTGTAGAATTAATTCTCTTTTAGGGGTAAAGGGGAATCATATTTATCATATTTGTTTTTCAACATTTACATCTATACTTTCATTTTTAAATAAATCTATCAAATAACAAAGAGCATAGATAAAGTGAGGTGTTGGGGTTTTTTCTTTCCCTTTTGCATATGTATTATGGGAAAAGGATGTGGCCTTTTCAGAGACATAGTGTGCAAAAGAATGTTTAACAGAGTGAGTACAAGGACATACAGGAAACAGCATCCAAGCCACTCATTTTCCAATGTGTCCACCTGACCAGCCTCGACTTAGAGTCTAGGAACTGTTTTTCCAACATAATGCAGGTTTTAGAAAGACATAGTAGCCAATTTTTTTCCAGGACCCTTAATATTATATAAACAGGCTAATGGTCAATGGGGCAGAATACAGTTTTGTCTAGAGAATGGGTACAGCCTCCTGTCATTAAAGATTCCTTACCTATCCCACACTAAGTTTAGAAAATCTAGTCACTTGCTTTCTCAGGTTTCCTCCTCGGCCTGAAAAATTCAGAACTACTCATTTGTTTTGTTTCTTCACATTTCTACCCTCTTCTTGCACTAAGTAACCTAATTTTGCCTTCCCTTGTTGACTTCTGTACACGCATACGTACACACCAGAATACCTCCATGCCCACCCCCACCCCCCACATGCACAGGCACACACCAAAAGTAAGGCCCAGCTGCCCAATCTGAAAACCTTTCAGCCTGCCCTGTAAGTGCCATCAAGACAGGATTCCAGGAGCACAAGGCTAAGAGTCCAACCTCTCACGGGTGGGGCTGGGAGGCCTCTCCTTTGCGGCGGAGGAGAAAGGAAACTTGGGTCTGCTTTTTAGATTCTGAAAACAAGCCAGAGTGGAGAGAAAGAGTTAACATCAGACTGAGTAAAGCTTTTAAGACAAAACCTGTTCTATGTGATCTAGACAGACACCGGGAACTTTCTGCTGATTTCTGAGATCTGTACAGATAGGACTGGTGTGGATAGGAGGAAAGAGTCAGGAGTTGCTACATAACAGAGATTTGCCATTATTACAAAACTGGCTAAGTGGCTTTGTTCCATTGAATCCCTCACTGGTCACTGTTGTCAGTGGTGCTGTTCCCTTTCTCTTTTTTCTCTTGGGTCTTGTTGCCCTTCTTCTTTTTCTTCTTCTTCTTGGTCTCCTCCTTTTTCCCAAAGGTTATGAAGTCACTTTTGTCAATTTGGCTGTTGGGTGGCTCCTGCCGGATGGAGATGATTGCAGGAGATCCCGGAATAATGAATTTGTCTGGCAACTCACCAGGGCCGGGCTGCTTGGGGTTGCCAGGTCCATATTTAAAGGTCCAGCTGTTGCTGTTCACACCAGCTCCTACAGGGGGGGACACCTCTCCTGCCTCTGGTTCTGAAAAATCCAAATGACAAGATATCAGTCAAGGAAAGCCAGCCCCCTTGCCCATAGTGCCACACCCCCCTAGACAGGAATACTGTGATAAGAGAGCATAGTCCACCACTGTTCCATGAAGAATATCTTGGTCCAGAATAGAGGCCCAGAGTAGTGATTAGAACAGGAGATAAACTAGAAGTCCACATTCCCTTCCCAACTATGCTCCTGACACTAACTGATTTTCCACTATTGCCTTTCTGGGTCAAGATACTTGAATGTATGTAAACATTTCAATACAAATACCAGGAGGTTCTATTGTAGTTGTAAAGGAAGCTTTGCAATTTTTCAAGAGAAACATCAAGGAACTTAGTCCCAGAAAAAGGATTTCTGAATCTTCTGAAAGACTGGGAGAAAAAGGTGTACCTTGACCAGAACAGAAAGTCAAAGAAGCTATTTGTTAGCCCTGATTAAACTTCCAAAGCCACAGGAGAGATGCTTTTGTAAGTCTAGGGAAAGGCAGTGCAATATAGTGCAATGTAGTGGTAAGAACCCTGGTCATGGATCCTGAAGACCCAGATTTAAATTCTGGATCTCATACTCACTAATTATGATCCTGGATAAGTCATTTAACCTTTCTCGGTATCAGCTTCCTTATCAGCAAAATGAGGATGATAATTTCTATGTCACAGAGTTGTTGTTAACTTTTAAGTGCTAGAGAAATGTAAATTAATATTACATATATGTTTGAGGATAAAGGTATTACAGAGGATTACTTTTGCCTCTTCCACCCCTATAGATATATATAGATATATACAAACCATTATATGGTATGAAAAGTTCCACAAGTCTCTCACCCCTCTCTGATCAGTCAGTCTTTGTAGCCAGACACATTTCTACTCATTATTTGTAGAAGAGTCAGGAAACTTGTGTAACCTCTCCCCCAGGATGTTTCCATGAAGATATGATAAGTTGAAGGAAGTTCATGTATATATTCATGCAGGCACTTTGCCCAGAGTTCCCCAAATTTCCAGGGGACTTTGAACTCTGAAAGAACTTCCTTCCTGAAGAGGAGCCAAGTGGAGAGATGGGAAGGGAGGAGTACCAAGAGTTGTGATGGTCTCCCAACCTTCTCCTTTCAAGTTTTCAGGGAATAGATGGATGAGTAAACTGTCCTAGTGACAGAAAGCAGAGAAAGCAAATGGAGCTAAGATTCCAGTGTGTGACAGATCATGCAGAAAGGTGAGAAGAGACACAAGTGGATTGATAACACATCAGGGTTGATGAAGCTCCTAGAACTCATTTGACAGGACCAGTCTTCCTCCTGCTCCTCTGGAATATTGCCTCAAAAAATCCCACTTTCCCTTTACCAGAGTCCAGGCCCTTGACTTCCCATTCACCTTCTGACTGGTGGGAGAAGGGGTGATATTTAATGTCCCACCTCCCCCATGGTGCTCAATGAGTGAAAGCCTCTTTCTTAAATGATTATTTGTATTCCTATGCTATTTAAAATTGCTATTAATGTTTATGGCCATTTATAATAATTTTAGTACAAACCAACAAGTACATAGTTTGGAAATGAAAAACAAATTAGCCCAAAAGGAAGTTTTTACTCAGTTCAGGCTGAGGTGGGCATGAGTCAATTAAAAGAAGAATATCTGTAATTCTAGTAACCTCTCAGATACTATGAAACATACCAGATTGCTTTTGAGCCCAGAGAGAGGTATAATAAGGAAAAGAACCAAGAGAAGTGAGACACAATGATTGGTGTATTTAAGTAAAATCATACTTTCTCCACACAACACGTAGCCGAAGTTCTACTGGGCAATACCTAGAACGTCAAGAAACACCAAGCATTTTGGGGGAAAGATAATGAGTTCAGTTTTGGACGTGCTGAAATGAAGATGTCTATGGAATATCCGGTTTCAGAAGTTATTAGGCAGTTGGAAATATGAAACCAGAGAAAGTCTCTTGGGAGAGAGGTTAAGAAGGCTGAACAAGTAGATTTTAGACTTATCTGCATAAAGATTGTAATTAAATCCATGGTAGCTGAGGAGATCACAAAGTGAAATCATACGAATGAAGAAGAGAAGAGGGCCCAGCAGAGCCTCCAGTGACTTGAACAGTTAGTGGGAATGAGTTGTATAAAGATCCAGCAAAGGAGACAGGGAAGAAGTCAGAGAGGCAGAAGGAGAATGAAGAAAGAACGCTGCCATGAAAACCTATAGAAAAGGGCAAAAAGGTCAAAGACTGCAGAGAGGTCAAGAAGCATGAGGACCAAGAAAAAGCCATTAGATTTGGCAATTAAGAGATTTTTAGTGACTTTGGAGGGAGCAGTTTCTCCTCAAGCCAGAACCCAGATTGCAAAGAGGTAAGCAGAGAGTGAGAGGAAAGAAAATGGAAGCACCTATTGTAGATAGCCTTCTCAAGGAGTTCAGCCATGAGAGTTGAGAAATATGCAATGAAAGTTTTGGGGAAATGGATGTTTCAAGTAAGGATTTTTTTTAAGATGGTGAAGGCATGGGTATGTGCGTGGACAGTAAGGAAACAACCAGAATACAGGGGGAGATTGGAAATCAGTGAGAGAGTAAAAATGAAAGACAGGATAATCTGCTAGAAAAGATGGGATCTCACTTGTGCATGTATTGGTAAGGAGAAGAGCCACCTCTTCATGTGAAATGGGTGAAAGAGATAGTTGCAGAAGACATCTGAATACTGTGGGACAAAGAACAGGGGAGAAGAGAAAGTTCTCTGCAATTCTTTCAGTGAAATATTAGGCAAAGTTCTCAGCTGAGAGAGTGTGTGGAGAGGAAACTATGGGAGGTTTGAAGAAGAATGAAAAGATTTGGAAAAGCTGATGTGGTGAATGGGATAGTGAACCAATTAGAGAGGTCTGAAAGAATTGCCTTTCCATAGTGAAGACCCAGTTGAAATTAAGTAACATAAATTTGCAGTGGGTCCAGTCAGCATAGTTCGCCTTATGTCATCTTGATCACCAACACAGATAAAAAGCTATATAGTGGGATAGCTAGGTGATGCAGTGGATAGAGCACCAGCCCTGGAGTCAGGAGGACCTGAATTCATATCCAGCCTCAGACATATAACACTTATTAGCTGTGTGACCCTAGGCAAGTCACTTAACCCCCATTGCCTAGCTTAAAAAAAAAAAACTATGTAGCAAAAAGACTGAGGTCAAGGGTGGCAGAGATACTGCTGTCTAAAACATCTCCATGATGGCCATAAGTCAAACACCATGAGTTGCACTAAGCTAAAAGAAGCTGCTCCCCCAACTGTGACATTGCAGATAGAAGCCATACAAGTAGATAGTTATCAGACACAAGTTGGAAATTACCAAATTAATCCTCCACTTTGAGTATAAACCTTGATCTCAGCACAAGGAATACCAAAATTTAAAGTCCTAGCAAATTGTGTTGGCATTTTCCAGACGAACAAGAGAAGGTTTTCCCACCTTGAGCAGGTGGAGAAAGGGCTCTAGCCATAGGTAAAATGAGTCACAGAGAATTAACAAGAAACCTCTCCTAGGGTTGTACTATAAATAAGCTAGTAAAGATCTAGCGAGACTAAAAACAATAGAACTACCACTACAAAACATTGGTAATTTAGTAATGATGCCCTCCGGGATTTTTATTCCTGGTATGATCCCTTTTATCTCTCTAGGAAAAAATTAATTCAGGGCAGCTAGATGGCGCAGTGGATAGAGCACTGGCCTTGGATTCAAGAGGACCTGAGTTCAAATCCGGCCTCAGGCTCATAACACTTACTAGCTGTGTGACCCTGGGCAAGTCACTTAACCCCACTGCCTAACCAAAAAAAACCAAAACAAAACAAAAAAATTAATTCAAAGACCCAAGCTTCTTGTATAAAGGTGGTACTGTGGGTGAGCTGGATTTGAGATCAGGGGATTTGGGTTCAAAGCCCAACTGTCACTTAATACCCATATGTCCTCTATTAGGTAACTTCACTCCTCCATGGTTTGATTTCATCTTCAGTAAAATGAGGGGGTTGGACTGACTAGGTGACCTCTGCTATCCCTTCCAGCTCTGAATCTTTAATCCTATTAGCTTCCCAACAGGAGTTCAGCCAGAGTTAAGCGTCCTGTTTTCTTTCTGGGTGCTGGTGATGCCCATGAACAATAGAGACAAAAAGCATAAAATTGGTTTGAAAAATTTCTGACAGGCCTGGAGTTGTTACCTGCATATCAGCACTACTCAAATATCTTTTGGAGAAGTCCCACTAAGCTGGACCCTGAGCTCATTCCTAACTGCAAAGTAAAATGTACACCCTCAGGAACTGCAGAGGATTTATTTCCAATATTGAGTTAGTCCCCAGTGTAAACCCAAGGAATGAAGCTTATTGGTGATTACTCAATAAACCTGTCATCTTTTAAATAGTATTTTATTTTTTCCAATTATACCTAAAGACAATTTTTAACATACATTTTTGCACATGATTTTGAGTTCCAAATTTTGTCCCTTTCTCCCTTCCCTTCCTTCCTCTCTCCCTAAGATGGTAAGTAATTTGATGTAGGTTATATATGTGCAATTATGTAAAATACATTTCCATAAATAAACCTGTCATCCTGAGCCTAGGTATGTCTTCATCCTTGCTGAGCCAAAGGAAACGAATGAACCTTCTTGCTGGCAAAAGAACCAGCTCACAGCAGGAATGCCAAGGGTTAATCAGTTTTATTTCCACATCACTGAGCTGCTTCTGCCTTTTCAGGGAAACTTGTTTCTGCCTGACTCAGCCTGAGACACCAAGAAGCTGACAGGGCTTCATTCATGTGTATCCTCCACGTGTTCTGGCTCTGCAGAGGAGAGCTCTGCTTTGCTCCACCACCGCCCCTTCCCATCCCTACCCCCCAAAAAACCCACTGCAGAGGTCCCCCAGGTACCCAGCCCCCTCCAGTAGCTCCTATTCTAAAGAAATGTTTGACCATTTCCAGATCAAACACATGTTCCCTCTCTGCCAAAGGTCAGTGGGTGTCTGGCCCTGTGCTA